CACAGCGTCCACCCAGACCTGCGGGTCGATGTCTGGAACGAGCGTCGGCAAGTCGTCGTAAGTTATGGCCTGTGCCGGCTCCTCTTCCGTCCTCAGGGCGGCTATGATGTGTGAGTCCGCGTCCGTAATCTTGGCGGACAATGCTTCGGCTTCGGAAGGCCGGAACTCCGGCAGAGCCTGCAGTAGGATGAGGAAAAACTCTTCCAGCTTGCCCGAGTCCCGCAGGATGTTTCTCCACTGAAGCCACGAGATGAGCCCAACGTTCCTGCTGATTTCGACGGTTAGGCGTCCACCGTCCTCATCATAGTCAATAAAAAGGTCGACTGTGAACAAGACGTGTATCTTCCAGGTCAGCGACAGCTCGACCATGGAGGCCACCAAGGATGGAGGGTCCTGAGCTTCCACATAGGGAAACCCAGTGTACAGCTTCATGAACTCGGCCAGCTTGTCCGTCTCGGACTTCCTGTCGGTGACGACCTTCGTACAGGACTCGAACATTCCATACGCTTTTAGCACGGCCGAGTACCCCATACTGCGAGTCGAGCCAGACTCCAGTGGCACCGCTCGTCTCACCAGAAACGGGTGTTCTCGCTGTCTCACGCTTTGCCCCAGCAGCGAGTGAGACGACATGCTGTCGTTTCGCGAGAGCTGAGCTACGTCGGGAGCAGCGGAGCGGACGACGAGTTTTCTAGCCGGTGACTTCGCTTCCCGGGCTTCCTCGGCTGCACGTTCGAGGGCCTCCTGCGCGTCGAGCATGGTCTCCTCGGCCACCTTGTCGGCGACGCTCCGGTGGACTGTGCGAGTGGTCCCGAACCAGCCGTCGCAGACGAAGCGGTAGAAGTTGTCGCACGGGTGAACGCTGCGCGTGATGGATGCCTCGAGCAAGCGCGTGAAGTTGGCGCTCTTGCGACCGCTGGTTTCCGTGGTGGTTCGTAGAACAGCAGGTACCAGCCAAGGTCGCGACGGAGGGCAACGACGCATACCAGTCCGAAGGCAACCAGACAGAGCTCGGTGTAGTCGGCGGTGACGAATTCCGCTTCGGTCTCGGAGAAGGTGCTGTCAGTGGTGTCCCCCGACATCCTCTTGGGCCATGGCCCAAGATGGCGAATACGAGGCGGGCGTTGGCTCAAAGCAGGCTTCGGTATCTGGGGAACGCAGTTCCACGAAGGAAGCTGCGGAGTCGTTCTATATTTCTTTGTCTTCAACGCAGTCGCATTCCAGCTTGAACGTCGAGAAGCTCAGTGTGACCTGTCAGTGAACGCGACGCCCAAACACGGGCTTGTCTCATTCCGTCCAATCGTTGATCTGCGAGGCCTAGCTACAGAATGAAGGTCGCGTGAGACGAGACGCTGATGATGCTATTGCCCACGTGCCAGAAGCACTATGGCACGTTCCAACGAAGAAGATGGTCTAAATGAAAACATCCAATGGAATGAACGTGCTTAGCTCCAAATTCGCAATTTACGATTATAAATTCTTATTCTTTATGCTGAATCTTATCAACAGTCATACTGTTCGTGTGGGTTTGTTTTATTTTTAATTGTACTGGTTCTTCTTACAATCTAAAGATGAGTTTGACCCAGTAACGTGAACTAAACATCAGTATCATACCGATTCGTGTAACAATGGACAACACTAATAAAGAGGAAATAACGCGAAGGAAGAAAAATATAGTCAACAAAATTTGTTTTGCCAGTGCGTGGCACTCGTGGGGAGCACATACAAGGGTACGAATACGCCAAAACTTTGTTTCATTGTGGCGTATACATTATTAAAAATTCCAAGTAAGCATTTTATAAACAAATTTCTACGTTTTGAAATCGGGTCACTCCTTCGGTATGGAAATAACATATGAACTGGCGAAGTGAACTAATCAATAGACAAATAATTATTTATTAAATGTACAAATAAATCAATATTGCTACGCCTATAAAATATATCTCATCACTAGTAATTATTTGGAATGTGTAAGACTTTCGTTAAATTGTCCCCCTCCTTTGTGTTTTACAGAGGCTCCAGATGAGGAGTGATAACATCTTTTATGTATAACTTGGCGACACATTTTTTTTTCTCGCCAGGCGGGTGGCGGGGCTTGACACGTACGACAAATGAGTAGCTTCGGACGGGGCGGGGAGGTGAGGAAAGTATCCACTTTGCACCTCCTATGCTTGCTTAAGGGGGCAGGTGTAATTGGGGGCTATATAGCAACCGACCTGAAAGAAAAGGCGCAGCTTCCCCTGTTCTCCACTGGCGCCTTAGCTGCTTCTTATGGCGCAGTGCAAGAAACGGCTAGTGACCTTCAGCCCGAGAGCGAACTCAATTAGGTTGTGCTCAAGTTTTCATTGCAGATTCAGTGAAGTCCTCCCACCCCCATTCCCGCCCTAATGTTCAATCGATTCAATACGACTCATCGTCATCGCGACGGTCATCCTCCCCTTATTTGATGGTTCAAGGCAAGCAAGCAGCTTTGATGGCTCAAGCCAGATTGCGCTGTACACTTCCACAACCAAATTATTACATTAACAAAGCTCGACTCAAGGCGTCACCGCTGTGCATTTTTTGTAACGAAATTGAAATAATTGAACATTTCTTTTTACTCTGTAGTCGTTACTTGCCAGAAAAAAATATTTTTAGAAGCCCCATTACAGAAGGTAGGAATACAAGTAAATGTACCAGTACCTTTATCACTTGGCAGCACTTCATTTCGTTACTACCACCGGGATATATGCTCCACTGTGTTTGACTGGCAACTAAAAAATTGCCGTGCTAGTGAACTCTAGCCATTTCAGATCTTTAGTTTATAATTCGTAGCTATGTCTGTCAGGAACAAGAGATGGTTTGACCGCTTGCTCAGCAACCATTTTCGTTTATTGGCAGTTTTATCTCTATACTAATTTTTCAGATTGACTTTAATTTCATTTTAGTTTCAATTAGGTCCCCTGCCACCCGGTTCTTGGCCCATCCTCCTCTGTGGGTGAGTGCCATCTATCCGAGGTCATCAGCATCAGCATCAAACAGCTGGCCTGATCATGCGGAGTGGAAACATAAAGAAGACAGGTTTCTGAAGAGTCGCATCAAAAGGCGGCGTGAGGAATCACTCTCGACGAAAGGTAGTGTGCGTTCTTGCTTAGCGAACGACATCCACTGTGAAATAACCTCGTTCCGCAGTTTCGTCACACAAAAAAAAGCTTCGAAACTGTGACAATCATCGCAGAATCTGCATTTTCCACTTGTGCTACAATTAATCAAACTGGTGCACATGCATTCATTCGCGATGTGTCGAGATACGTGCTTTGGCAAATAACTTGAAAAAAAATATTTCCATAAAACTAAAACATTTCAGTCCACTTTATTTCATGAATAATAAAACCAACAATAGCATGGGAGACAATGTCCCCTGTGGCTTTTTTTCTTTTTTTGGGGGGGGGGAGGGGGGGAGAGGGTTCAGTTTTGCGCAGGTTTTATGTAGCCCATATGTAGCAGCCCATATGTAGTTTTTCATGAGGAATGATGTCCAAAAGTAAGGTGTGGGCCGTAGATCCACAGAAGACCACGTCAAGGGGAAATAGCTCTGAATATTCCTACATATGACTAGCTTACTCGGCAACAACTTTGCTTAACAGTACTGTGCAAGCTACAGAACGAAAGCGCATACCAGCTACCAAGCCTAAAAAGAGTATACTTCAGTTGATTGATAGCTTTCTCATTTCTTTTGCTCAAATAAATATTGATTCATTATGAATTCCCAACACTTGCAGGAACTCGTACGTAAGATACATTTAATCCTCCCTCTGTACGAATGCCTTCCTTTAATTTCATTTTTTTATAGACAGCACCGCCATTCCGGCACGCCCGTTGTCGAAAGAAAACATGACATCCGTGACTTGAGTTGGTCAGTGTGCAGTGGCAAACGCGCTGATAAGTCCCTGCAATGTAGAGAGAAAACCCGGATTGTCTCTCTTAATGAAAAAAATCTGCACATGTTTTTCTAAACGCGTCACAATGCGAGTGACCCAAATCGAAATCAGCCGCAAGCAGCCTTATGCATACTTGCAAGCGGAGCAACATGAATTTGCTTAAGCCCCACCTTTGTAGCTTTCCCTCTACTTCAAAGTAAGCAGTGGCCGTGTACAATGGCGCGGTGCCTTCATGCTTCTATGCTGCAGACAGGCTACCGCAGGAGCCGATGCCCTACTTGAAGCACATAGCCATTTAGGCGAAAGTCTCACATGCCTCGTGAAACACGAGGACACAGTCGATGGCGTTGGCGTTTACACGAAGTGATGAGTCACTCTGACGCCACCACATGACGTTCGCGCTTGGTCAGTGTGAACCGACGTCTCAGGGAGTGCTGCGAACACACGTTAGGTGCTTAAAAGTGTCTGCGAAAAAGCACGAATCAATAAAATCAGCTGAGACGAATAAAGATGGTTCTTGCCTTCAAAACACCTTTGGCAAACGCAAGAAAACCGTGAAACCTTTTACTCCACTTTGCAGCACGGTGCTCAAGCTCTCATTGTTAACAGTGTAGGCTCTTGTATAGTGTCGTGGCTAGAACGTAATGTGACACGCTTGTCGCAGGAAGCATTAGCTCGAGACTCTGATGTGAGTGGGTAACGAAACCGTCAAAGCCACTGTTGCCAAATGTTAACGATCGCCACGTGCGGATGTCTACATCATTTATATGGGTTTAGTGCACCACGACAAGAAAACATAACAGAGAGAGAGAGAGACGCACACTTACTCAACGCTAACTTGGAACTTTGAAAGTTGGCACTGTGTGTGTCTCTCTCTTATGTGTTCTTGTCCGCTACACACATATGAATGATGAACCCGAACCAACTAGCGCGGCAACGTGCCTTAGGTAGTCTACAGATCTGGACACGTTTACGTCGCACTAGAGAGACGAGCGTAGGGTACAAGCCAGAAGTCAACACGGAATGGCCAGTGCAACATAGCCACTGACAACGTCGATTTCCCATTTGCTGAAGCTACTGCACGAAGCGAAAAAGTATTTGCGTAGCTCTAATGACCCTGACTCGGGTGCTCAAAGCACGGGAGGTTTCGTTCCGGAAGACGTTCCTTCCACATGGCATCTGTGTTGCTATTGACCAGGGCTACACTATTATTAAGAAAAAAGTGTGTTCACACCAGAAAACTCTGTGTGAAACCCTTGAAACTTTTTTTCCTGCACCATGAGCAAATAATGCAGGAACGAAAGAAAAACCATTTATTTTGCAGAAGAAATTTCGTTCTTAGCTTTAAAATTCTCCAACGGGAGATCTCGTAGCTCTGCGATATATAGAGTGAGTTAAGTGCCTGTTCATGGCACGACGACACCAATGTACTCCACCCGACGACGCTGCGCCTATTGAAAGCATACTCATTTTTCACTACGCTACATGCAATTAGTCATGCTAATGACAATCATAGGGATATGCAGTCGGAACTATATACCTCCAATAAAGCCAAACAGGAAGGCCTCTATTCAGATGTCAGCCAATGCTAGGAAACAAGCGCTCACACACATTAGAACAAAAGGTTGCAGTTGCGACTGGTTTTGCGAAAGTGACATTTAACAACCCTTTTGGACTAACGGATCATTGCAGAAAAAGTCACAGAAGCACTAGTATTCCCACGCCCGGCGAAAGCGAAAGGAACACACAGCACACAATGGGACACGAAGCAGGCTGACGCGGCAAGCAGGCGAGGTCATGTCATGTCGGGGCACGCGTGTATTGGTGTGTAATCGATATCAACTACATGGTCACTTGGCGCAATCGCGTTGTCTTGTGAAGTGTAAAATAGCGTTCTGTGGTGATGCGACCGTGGCACATGACGTTTTCAAGTCGGGCTGCGTCTTCAGTTTTAAGTAGGTGTCACTTATGGGCCCTGCGTAAGTCCGTAGATCTCACGCTCTTAATCAAATCCTCAGTACAGCCTTAAAACGAGGCTGTCAACGTGGAACCGGGGAAAAACAAACGAGCATGGTCCATAATAATATTAGTAACAGAAATAACCAACCAATAATTCGAATTATTCTCCTAAGGTTGCTACAAACGCTTTGGAAACGGGCCGCTACCACCCACACACAGCTAGAGAGGACGCCACCGCGTTCAACTCCCACCAGTGCGCCGGCACTTCAGCACTTCGTCGCTACATCTGAAGTAAAAACAACCTGGCGGAATCTCTTGCAGATGACACGTGACAAGCAGGAAGTCTTTAGGTTTCTAAAGCGCAGCGCAAAGGGAGAGCACATGTCGCACAGTTGGCGCATCTTCCTAGTGCTGTTCGTGCAGGGATAGCCACTCACGCCGAACTCGAGCATTTACGCAAGCGGTGTTTTTTTTTTATTAAACACAACAAAAGGAAGAAACTCTATACGAACAGAAATGGCAGGGTGTCATAGTTACGAGCTTACTATGGGTTTACAGTTGTGCAGCTGCATTTAGTACAGTATTGTAAACCGCATAGGTTTTTTGGGGGGGGGGGGAGGGGGCAGCACAAGTTGGTTTTGAATTATTATATGGCATGACGTAGTCAAGTCGCCACGTAGTTTTAGGTGCCACCGCGCAATAACTTCCTTCACGGACACATAATTATTGAGCGTGCAAAATTGCAGTGATCTTACTGAAACAAGCAGTGGTTCTTCTCGCGTCTGCTACACTCGGGCTGTCCGCTGGCTGTGGCACTGTAGCTGTGCCGGGTCCTGCTGCATAGCCGTGCCTCTGCTCGTGGGACTAGTAGCCCACTACGCGATCGGAGGCCGGGGTCTAGACGCCGCTCCCTATTTCAGGGGCGGACGCCTCAGCGGAAGCATGCTTGTAGACGTGTCTCAGCAGCCCACCCTACTGGCGTCCCTGAACCGGTCGGTGAATCCGTGCCACAACTTCTATCGCTTCGTGTGCGATGGCTGGCTTGCACGCCAGGGCGACAGGCTCTCCCTACTTGAAGAGGTGAGCAAGTGGTTCGCACTAACTTATCCTTATCATGTTACAATACGCTGACATTCGCCTATTTTCCATCACTGCAGTGTTCACAGCGTCACAGCGAATACTAGAAAGCACTACATTCGGTTACAACCTAAGAAAAAAAAAATGTGAGTGCCCCACAAGGCCATTTTTGTCACTCGCGAAGACAGTTTGCAGAAGTTATCCATTGAACAGCGCTTACATAAAACACTTCTCAACCGTTTTAGACGGTCCATTTCTCTATATAGACCACACTTGTGACTTGCATTGAACTTTTAATAGATGATAAAGAATCGGCTGCAGCAACTGTTTTTCACTTGTGAAAAGCACGTACGGCACTGTTCTGTGGACGAGTGGACATATTGAAGGAAAAAGTATGTGATGCATCATCAACCGCAAAGATTGACACTTTGTGGCGTCGGTGTTCCGCGAAGTCGCCGTAAGCACGACTCACCCCAAACACATTCCGGGGCTGAAGTCATCATGACATCACAGGTCACTTTAAAGGGCGACGTCCACAAAGTCTCAGATCACCATAAATGGTGACCTGACCATGGCGTCTATTTGGCATTCCTTACAATGACGTCAATGGAGAACATAATCGCTCAAACTCGTCGATTGGTCAAAGGTGGGACGGGACGATCACGGAGGCCATGGAAAATCTCGTGAGGTGTAGAATGCTTGCAGCGTCTTCGATCTCGAAGGCCGTACAAAAGCACGTTAAGTGCAGAAAGCATTATAGCTGTGAGAACTTGCTGCACGCGCCCCTAATACTCTTGGATAAAACTAAGGCGAAAAAGACGACCAACAAGACGAAGAAGCCAACAGGACAAGCGCATAACAGGGCATGCGCTTGTCCTATAGTTTTCTTCATCTTGTTCCACGTGTCATTGCGCTGTGTCTGTTCATAATACATTACCCAGATACCTAACAGTCTACTCTCATTAACTAATATGCTATCCCAACCCAGCTGGCTCTGACCGCCCAGCGGAACGCGGCCACCATTCTGAGGCACATCCAAGTTCCCGCTGTAGGGTCAATAAGCGCCGTGCACAAGGCGGCTTTGCTGATGCAAAAGTGCCTCCTTTCGTCACGATGGCCTCCGAGACCCGAAGCGCTGCTGCAGTTCATGGCCAGTGTGGGACTAACGTGGCCTCAGCCGACGACCATGAACACGTCAGGTCTCATCAGCCTCATGGTCCGAATGTCTATAAGGTCAGCATAAAGACCGGCTTGTTCATCCACCAGTCAGTAAACTTCAGTTCAAATTGCAAGCCAGGCGATAAAATAGGCTTACGGACAGACGCACAAATAGATAGATAGATAGATAGATAGATAGATAGATAGATAGATAGATAGATAGATAGACAGATAGACAGATAGACAGACAGACAGACAGACAGACAGACAGACAGACAGACAGACAGATAGATAGATAGATAGATAGATAGATAGATAGATAGATAGATAGATAGATAGATAGATAGATAGATAGATAGATAGATAGATAGATAGATAGATAGATAGATAGATAGATAGATAGATAGATAGATAGATAGATAGATAGATATTAGGGGAACATAAATTGTGTTTAGAAAAAAGGGGGTAACGATTCAGAGTACTAGGTACTCTACTATGGGAGAGCTTAAAGCCGTCCCGTGCGAGGTACATAAAATTTGGTGATAAGGTTCATCTATAGCTTACAGGAATATAAGCGCAGAAAACAAGACATTCACAGTATGAGTAAGCAGGACGAGCCTAGTTTGGTACATGGCCGTTTTCTATAATGAATACGCGCTGAATTCTCTGTCGGTGGTACCGGCCTTATTACAAGCTTCAGAAGCCCCACTTTTAAAAACCACCGTTCACCACCATTTAGAACACCGTTAACCGTGGTGTAAATTTGACCGCGGCCCTGCAGCTGGGACTTGAACGCCGTGTTCAAGCTGGAGTTGCTGCCGACGCCAAAGAGGGCCGGCGGAAGACCCCGCTGGGTCCTGTCAGCCAGCACTCAGCTCGACTCGTGGCGTCAAGAGCGGAGGCGTCTCGGACCCGAGTATCTGACCCGAATACGGCAGTACGTCGAAGGATTCTCTGACACACGGGTGAGCTGAGCTTTAGCATTGACATAGCAAGGTGTGACGGGAAACTCGAACCTCCTACCCTCTCATGCCACCGAAACGTTGCATTTTCGCATGACTAACACAGAGTCTCACTTTCTTTAAGAAGAAAACCTTAATGACCCGGTTATCTTGTATTTGCGCTAAGAGTCCGGACCATGCCAACTTCTCCTTGATTTCTACTAAAATCAGTCATTCAATGAATGCGTTACGGTGTCCATAACACCCGTTTATTGGCTGACACGATCTGCTGTGTTCGTTCTCCTTAAAGTTGCACTAATAGTTTTTCTTAGCAGGGACCTCTGCGCCATCCTTAGCAACTAAACTGAACAATGTTCCTAAACGTCCTGGTTTATATGCGTAGGTATGTACTGTTGAAATGGAGCTGTTTTATACATTTCAATAGAAAGGCAGTGTTGAACCGGCCTTAACGATAAACCAACTTTGTTTTAGGAGGTGCCAATGCGCCCCCTTACGAGGCTCGGGGCGTTTTTGTACACAGTAAAATGCTTCAAAACCAAGAAGAAGTGTTATTTACAGCTAAGTTGTGAAAAAAAAAAACTATTGTGCAGGTCACCAGATCACTAGTGGACTCCATTTTCGAGGCCGATGACGAAGTGCTGCGAGTCACCAACGTGTATACTGGTGGACGAGAGTCGCGGGCCATTGACAAGCTCTACGAAGTTGCACCAGAATTTCAGGCAAGCAGTCAGAAAGTTCGAGATGCAGGTGTTTCTTCATTGCGTCGGGGATGGGAGGCTGGAAAATACCGAAACTATGCAGCAAACAACGAGGTACGCCAGATAATTCTTAGAGGAATGGACGTCTAGGAAACGCCACGCATCATTATAAAACCTGCAGAAATATACTTGTCTATAGCTGCTCACCGTAAAAACTAGATGTTGTCACTTGTTTCATGAACATGAGATCAATATTCGTTGAAAAGACCTGATTACTTGACCATGAGGTAGTGGAATCGCCCCGTCGCTGTGGTCTCGTGGCTAAGGTACTAGGCTGCTGGCCCACAGGTCATGGAATTGAATCCCGGCTGTGGCAGCTGCATTGTCGGTGGAGGCGAAAATGTTGCAGGCCCGTGTGCTTAGATTGGGTACATGTTAAAGAACCCCAGGTGGTCGCAATTTCCGGAGTCCTCAACTACGGCATCTCTCACAAATATTATGGTAGTTTTGGGACGGTTCAACCCTACATATTAAATCAGATAGTGGAATCATACTGCACTTTAAAAGGGGGGACATGACTTATTTTGAAGTCAAAGGCGTGACGACAACAACGGACAGAGGAATGATCATACCCGTGAGGCGTCGTAACAGGAGATTCTTCCTAATAGCATTTTTCGGAAACCTCATCTGTGTGATATGAACTCTTCCTTATCCGTTGGGGAGGTGGCACCCTTCACTTCAAGGTATGCCGAACCAACACTCCCAATCGGCTATTGCGACAGTCGGCCTTGCCGCGAGTGCGCTGTACAATAAGAAGCGCCTTTGATAGACGCGTACTTGACTCTTATTATGGGGACAGGTGATAACTTAGATATGAAGCGTTGAAAGGCAAGTCATGCCATGCACTCTTGACATGGACGTTTTTGAAGCGTCAACAACACGCTTAGAACTAATATGTTATTTTTGACACCGAGATTGAAAATGAGAGATAAGGGGTGAAATTCGTGGAAGTGACGCGTCGACACCATGAATGAGTACTTGCTTGCTATTGTATTGTTGATTGTATTGTATTGTTTTGCTATTGTATTGTTTATAGTATTGTTTAGCCCTCAAACAAAGAATTCCGCTAAGTTCGTGTCACAAAACATAAAGTGCTCTTTACAAAAGAGGCCGTGTTGGCTGTGCACAGGTAAACATTGTTTGTCTTTCTTTTCACCAGTTGCTCTTAAGAAATTTTGCGACGTTTAACAATTTTCTGACATATCTTGCTTAGAAAAAACTAAAACAAAGAATACTCTGACGTTTTAAACTGCAGCACTTCATGAGAGGCCTATCGACATATTTAGTTAGATACGACTTTATGTATTTATATTTCTGGAACGTAAGATATTTCCCTAATATGCGACCAGTTCTAGTGACAGGTTGGCTAACCCCCTGTCAAAAAGGGCCATTTCATAGTTTTGGGTTTGAGCTTTCTTGATGTAAAACGTGTTCATAATATCCAAACACACGTAACTGCCAGCGCATGGCCGCGCAGAGCGTTGTTCTCAACAAGGTGGTCGTCAACCAACTGGTTAGCTCACGTTAGTATAACTGTAGCTAAATATGGCCTCCAAGAATCAGTGCACGTCGATCGTTGTTTCATCACGGAGGCCGCGTTTCTCCGCCGACCCCCTTCTTCGAGTAACCCGGGGTCTCTTACGAAAATTCGTTTTCTCACTGGTCAGATTGATTCGCTGATGATATCGCCGACATCGTGACAAGCTGTAATGTTCTTCGGTGAAAATTTGTGACCTATGCAAGACCTTTTTTTGTTAATTTACGATATTCGTTGATGAATTTCAGAATGACGTACATGTTCCAACACCAGGGGACATACTTTTTACTATATCAGAACCACTATTCACATAACCCTCACTCCAGGGATGTGTTATAGCAAACGTTCAGGAAGCATTAACCACATCGTCTGTCTGTGACATTGGTCAAGTGTTATCGCACTCGACTGTGCACCAGGAGGTGCTGGGTTGAAAACCCGGCCGCGAAGCCCACATTAGCATGGAGGCGAAGGGGCGTATTAAAAATACATGAAATGGTCAAAATTTTCGGAGCCCTTAACTAAGTCACCCCTCAAAATCACGTCGTAGTTTTGGGACGTGAAACCCAAGTAATTGTTATTACCATCCATATCTATGACATAACATTAGAGTCGATACTAGCGAAAGTTGTGACGTGCCCAATGAAATGGTATTCTTTCCCGAACTGTGTGAATAGGCTACGCTTTTGTACGGCACATACATTGTCTGGTGTACTCGGTACGCTCTTTCACAACGCAGACCTCGGCATGGTTGGATGCCATGAACGAAGTGACGCGGCCGCACTTTGAGGTGAACGGAAGTGACGTCATCAGCGTGTCCAACGTGCGCTTCCTGGCGGCGTTGCAGCGCCTCCAGCAGAACCTGAACGCGCAAAAGCCACGCGTCGTTCCGATGTACCTGAGCTGGTACACGCTTCGCACCCTGGGGTGGACCGTCGCACCGAACACTCCCGAGTGGCAGCAATCGAGCGGAAGCGAGCAGCAGCAGCGTTGCTTCGGCACGGTGAGTTTGTTAAGCCAACAGTACTGGATGCGTCAGTAAACAACAAATTCGACGATGGACTCCTGCGAGATTTGGCGAGATCCTGACGGTATTTGTCCTTTTCCTCGATGCCGAGGCACATGCGCCCTTGCTTCGCGGAAAAGTCGCGAAACGAGTCCTGGTCTCGGAGGCCTCCGTTTTAGCAATGCCAGTTTTCCCGCCCTCTACCAAACCCTACCAAGTTCCAGAGGGCTGCTTAGAAAAATAGCAAAACCAACACGAGTGATGCGAAAAACCACAGACGTGTCATGGTGTGACGCTGTAAAGTCATCAAGAAGCACAAATCACCAAAACTTCTGCAGTCATCATGATGTCATGGTGTTGTAACGGACGTCAAGTAATGTGACGTCACAAGATGACGTCTTTCCGTGACGCCCCTGCTTTTGTCATAGCTAAGGAGGCGCGTGAGGTGCAGGAAGCCGATGTCTCTGATTTACGAGGCGGTGTTAAACCAGACAAGGTGCATAAAGATATCGAGGGTGGAAGGTCCAATCGAATTCACTGAAAAAAAAAAGAAGATGACCACAGCCTTCTAGTCAAATGAATATATAAGGAACTGCCATGCGAGACAAGCAAGCGATCAGCCGAAAATAGACCTAATGCTCGACTTTCCACGAAGTCAATGCCTCAGGACAAAAACCAGCAACCAATATTTATCAGCCAATGTAGTAGTAGTAGCAGTAGTAGTAATAGTAGTAGTAGTAGTAGTAGTAGTAGTAGTAGTAGTAGTAGTAGAGAGAGAGAGAGAGAGAGAGAGACAGAAATATAAAGGAAAGACAGGGAGGTTAACCAGAGGAAGACTTCGGTTTGCTACTCAGTACTTGGGAATACTCGACCTGCACACTCGATCTTCAATGTTAGAAAGCCATACTCAGATGCAGACTGACGGCGTTCAGGCCAATTTGTAGACATTGTACTAACTAGCCTTCTTCTATTGTCGAGTACTGCCCTTCGTAGTTTTTTAAAGGTAAGAATAAGCGATATCGCCAGAATTAAAGCCTCCGAGATCAAGAGTCGTGCGACGACTTTGCCCCGATAGGAAAGGCGCACGCACCATGTCATAATTAAAACCACAGACATCCTCCCCTGACTGCCATGCTGGCTGAAGATGCAAAACTCCAGCCCGAACTCACAGTTGCGTTACATGTGTCTTGTGAAGCGTGTTTTCTAGCAAACTATTCGTATAGGGACACCCATATCACTCGCAAGTTGCCGTAAAAAAAAAAAAAACTTTTCGTTGACGATGATGTTGGCACCGCAGCTCATCTACCAGCATCACATACAAGAGTAATTTTTCTGGCCGAGCTAAGTGAAACAAATGTTTGTCCTGGATGTGAACGTGAATCAGGTTATCGTTGTTGTTGATGATGACGATGATCACTATGCGCCGACTATCAACGATGATCACTGTGACCACAATGTGGCGATCGTCATCGGTTCTTATCAGGGCGGTTATACGCTCGCGAAATTTTCTTCTTAACACCGAGATCCCAGAAAAAGTGAGCGTAATGAAGCATTTAGTGTTAACACTACGGCAGTGGTTTAGCCAAAGGAGTAGGATGGTGCGGGGTTCAAACACCCCCGAAAATTTTCAATATTGTTTGCCTGTATATGCACGCACGAACATACATAACGCATAGTTGAACACCCCTCCCCCTCACCCGAAAAAAAAATTTCTGGCTGCACTCATGTACCAGGCTGTCCGTTTGCATCAGTAAAGTATGTTTTTCCTTATCTTCCAAGGAAGTCATACATGTGAGGAGATGAGATAGTTTGAGGGTGAGCATGTCATTTATCTTGAATGCTTCGCTTTGCACAACGATGTGCATACGCGTGTGATAGTCTAGCATAAAGTTTGGGTATGTACACCTTTTCACAGGAGGGAAAAACAACACCGCCATGATGGGCTGCGCGCGGGAGTACAGAGGCCAAGGGCGCAGCCTTGTCAGTGCATTTTTGAGAGGTCACGCCAATTTGCGCAGCCCAAAGAGGACTGTGGCGGCGCCCAGGGAGGTGTTTTAAAAAAAAAATGTCTATAGTTTCTTTTGCAGATATAAAGGCTTCAGTTGCGAATAAATGCTCGTGCTGTGCCCATTCTTGTCCCTGTTTGTTTGAGCGCTTGTGATTGACAAATGTGGCGTCAGTGCATCGACATACGGTAGACATTCGTTCGACGGGCTCGCTATGCAGGTTCACCAGGTCATGCCGTTGGCCGCAGCCAAGCCCTACGCAGACGCGGCATCTTGGGACAGAGGCCTGATCGAGGAGCTCTTCGAGGCCTCGAAGCGATCGTACAGGAAGCGCATCGATCGGAGCACGTGGATGGACGAAGCGACGCGTCAGTTCGCCCGGGACAAGATCCGCTCGGTGAATGGAGTCGTTCCCGCGCCGGGTCTCATCTGGAACGCGAGCGCGCTTGAACGAACCTACGAGTGAGTCCTTGAATCAAGTTTCATTGGATGACTGACCGGTTCGCTTTTAGGGGCGAAGCTCCGTAATGCGTGGGCTGTGCGTCCCCTGTATGTAGCCACCTCTCGTTTAGTTCTTACAGTGTTCACTAGATGGCGCCACTTGTAGCTGATGATAAAAAGATGCAAGATGTTATAAACTAGACGGTGGTACTTGTAGTTGATGATGAAAGATGCGAGATGTTATAAAATAGAAATGATGTCACATATGGCACGTGTCATTGGTGGAAGGCAATCGTTCGATTTGGTGAGGCGACGTACGCTAGGGGGAGCGTTGTAATAAAATCGAGTGGGCAAAATGTACGGAGGATTCATGGTTTAGCAAATTTACCTCCGGAGCTTCGCCCACTCATCAACATTCACTTCTTGGATATGGCTGCACATTTTCGAAATTTTCATTGAAGTTAGCGCGTTACATGACACATCAAAGGCGAAAAGCGGACCGTTGGCGTCAAAACGAGTGATGGGAAAAAAATTGTCACCATCTAATGACATCCCCCGATATCTTCGTCACTGCATCATGGGTCGCAATAATTCGCGACGACATAACAGCGTCACTGCAACGTCACCTAATGCTACATTACGTCACGAGGACGTCACCACATGACATCATCGTTTGGTCAAAGACACCGAGACACCACAAAAATAGGCGAGAGCGGCAAGCTGTGCCTCTAATCACGGAGATATGAGAATCAATGCAATCGACTGGAAGAAAAACAAGGAAAAGGAGATGGCTTAAAGTGGTATTCGGGATACCTATAACAGACGGATTACTATTTTATGGCTAATTTGAATGTGTGGCATTCCTGCAAGACATTCAGTAGGTTGCGGACAAGTTCAGTCGGTTGCGAAGCACACCATGAAGATAAATCGAGAATATGTATCGTGTACGCAATACTTAAATAACACGCGTAATGTTGAAATCACGTTTGACGCAACGACATGCAACGAAGCACACTTGCATATACCCACATAATATATGCAAACACACTTACACCTATCATGGCAAATTGATATCGTTTGATTGATTGATTGATTGATATGTAGAGTTTAACGTCCCAAAACCACCATATGATTATGAGAGACGCCGTAGTGGAGGGCTCCGGGAATGTCGACCACCTGGGGTGGAGAATAATATCGAAACGCGTGGTATTGTTAAGCACTGAACGCTTTGATGAAAGCTGATTGAATCATTGATAAATTGATTGAGCCTAGCATCGAAATGTGTAGCTGTTCCAACATGCTTTGACATAATACTCTGATAGAATATAAATGAAATAGCATAAAACTATTTGATGCCCACAAGAAATTTAGGATATTGGCCAAAATGAAACGATTTACTACATCTTCGAGCACATGGCTGTTAATCGATTCTACATTGTGGGCAAAGTAGAAAAGACTGCTCCTCATAAAGTTTTTATCAAGGTTTATATTCAAGAATACAAAATGCACACTTTGGCTGGGGCATCGAACAGACTAAAATTTGCCGTCTGAAACATACAGATATGACTGGATCCTTTCATAGGTTGTAGGGAAACGTCAGCCTCTTTCTTTGCCGACATGAATACAGCAAAAGAGGCAACAAAATCATTGGCCCAACGCGTAGAAAACAACCTGTCTAAATGGGTGCACTACAATACACCTGCTGCGGATACAGGCTGATTTTTAGGCGACACCTTCATCTGTGCACGTTACTATTGACACAGCTACGCGCATGCCGAAAATGGCTCGCTTGCCACTACCATTTCGATCGCGAACAGTACAAGCTGGAACAGCAGCGCTATCTCCGCTGATACATGGTTCAAGTGGCGCTTGTTCCCAATGTGGTTCCTCTATAGCTAAATCATTACCACGTGAGAGTTGCGTGCATTAACGCCATTGAGGTCACTTCTCGCCTAACGAAGTGACAGCGTCTACATGGCAACTAACCCACCACAGTGGTTTAATGGTTATGGTTCTGAGCTGCTAAAATAAAGAAATTCGATCCTAATCACGGGGACCGAATATTAACGGAGGTTAAATGTCAATGGCCCCCGCGCTTACATCTTACGATCGGGCGCTAATAACATTATTCTGCTAGATTATTTAACTACGCTCGTAGATTATTTAACTACAACACCTAATAAAGAGAATATATTTAGGCGCTCGCTTTTCTTTTTTGTTAGGCACAGTATTCATTGGGACAAGAGAGAATGATGCCAAGGAATGCATAGGGGATATTTACTGGAAGTATTTCTATGGTAATCGAGAAGGAAAAGTGGACGAAAGGACGATTTGCCTACGACCAGGACCAGACCTGCTACCTTCAAACGTGTCCAGTGCTCGGACGCGTTGATTCACTTTACTCCGTCACGGCGTCACACCACAAGGTGCAGTAACAATGAAAAATGAAACAATGAAAACGCTGCTAAATAAAGTTAAAAAACTGATAATTCCGTACTATCAATGCATCCACGTCATTTTGAGGACATTGTCGCTAATAACCATCATCTCACGTTAAAGTCACTGCAATAGTCACACAGTTCCCTGCCCATTTGCTTAAGACTAAGCAAAGGCTTACGCCATCCACTGCCCCTTTCTTCCCCTCCTCCGCCTTGAAAGCTTGCGGCCCCCATGGTGGTTTCGCCCTACATTCGCGATCGGTCCATCTTTAGCAAGCAAACTAGCACGGGTGATTACGTCATCATGACGTCACGTTATGCAACCACGTGGTAATGTCATGTTGGCGTTACTATGACGCCACAAATACTGACTACCTTTGGTGCCATGACGCCGCAACTTCATTCTGATATTTTTTCACCCTCCATGTTAAAGCCGATGCTGCGGTCGCCGAAGATCACTAATTTTTTGATGAGGCACCATCTTGATGACCATGGGAGCTAGATTCCCACGACCGCACTGAAATGGCCCCTCTCGGTGTAAGTGTCGATTGCTGTTACCGCCTCATGGGGCGCGCACAATTTAGAGACGTGTTATTTAAGAGAACGCTTTGCGATCTTCGGGACACGCATGCGCATTCGCAGGTGCGTCCCACTTGGCCGGGAGCTGTCCTTCCTGACGTACCTGTCGGAAGCGAGGCGGTGCAAACAGCGACTTCTCCTTAGCGCGGCCGCCAGCGGCCAGAGCTCGCCAGAGACGATCACGTGGACGTCGCCCACGGCCTATCTGGTGCGCTACCTGGATGTCTACAACAGCGCCGTCCTCATGGGCTCCGTGCTCTATCCCCCCGTGCTTCAGGTGAACTAAGCGATGAGCCCGACGTTTCTATAGCACGTCAGTTACATCTTCCTCGGTTCGTATCTACCATTTGCTTCAGTCGCTTGCAATATGGTGCCCCGCCACGGTGGTCCAGTGGCTAAGGTACTCGGCTGCTGACCCGCAGGTCGCGGGTTTGAATCCCGGCTGCGGCGACTGCATTTCCAATGGAGGCGAAAATGTTGAAGGCCCGTGTGTTCAGATTTGGGTACACGTTAAAGAACCCCAGGTGGTCGAAATTTCCGGAGCCCTCCACTACGGCATAATCATATGGTGGTTTTGGGACGTTAAACCTCACATATCAATGGCTTGCAATATGGCGAAAAAAATCAATTATTTTGTGAGCACTTTCCTTGCATCTGGTTACTCGTTTCATTCACTTAGTGTATCCCTAGTCCTGCCATCTTTAAGTTGTCATAATGTATTTGTTACTATATTGCGGAATGGATAATAGGAAGTCACCCTAGCAACTTCGTAACTGTCCGCCATGGTGTAGCCGTTATGCTGCGCAGCTGCTAACCCGCAGGTCACGGGTTCGATTCTGGCCGCGGCAGTCGCATTTAAATTGAGACGAAGTGCTAGCAGGCCCGTTTGTTGTGTGATTTCGGTGCACCTTAAAGAACACGAGGCGGTAACAGCGTTGCCGTCGAAAAAGAAGGCCCGGCTTCAGCAAACGAGTCGTTTCTGTGCTGCAGACATCCGGCGACCACCGCGACGTATTCAACTACGCCGGCCTGGTGTTCCTCTTCTCCAAACTACTCTACGGAGCCGTAGGCCAGCGGGGCAGCCTTCGTGACAGCGCGGGCTCCCTCAGACCCTGGTGGAGCAACGCGACGCACGAGGGCTTCTCTCGAGCCGTGCGCTGCTTCGAAGACCTGTACCAGTTCGACGCCCGCTTCATCGACGACGACATAGGCGCCGCGGTGGCGGCGACCGTCGCTTTCGCCGCGTACGAGCGGCGCCTCCGAGATTTGTACGCGCTACACTCCGCCGGTCTCTGGAGGCGCGCTCTCCGGTGGATGCTCAGATGGCCTCGCTGGTTCAGCAGCGCTGGACGGGACGATTTCGCGGACGACCAGGCGTTCTTCATGAACCACTGCCTGCTCTTTTGCTCGCGCAAAGCTTCGAGCTTGTACTCGGACGGTTGGTTGTCGGCGGAGCAAAAGTGCAACCTGCCCCTTAAAAACAGTCCCGATTTCTGGCGCGCTTTTCAATGCGGGAAGGGTGATGCTATGAGGGCCAGCAAGTCTTGCGAGTTGATTTGAAATGCGGGCGAGGATGCCGTATATGGGTCATCGCTTGATTTATAACCATGCATTAGATGAAAATACTGGCGCATCATGGCACGAATCTGATGGGCGTGGCCTCATGCAATTTGATGAAGCTGTGGAAACTTCTGCAAAGTAGTTTTGCCAAGTCCTTTTTTTTTACAAGTGGAACAAGTATATAGGTTTCCGTATCTGACACTCATGATTTGTATTGCCACGACTGTGTTTATGATAGTGTATTGTATTGTCCTGCGTTTGTTTGAACTTTCCGCTACCCTTGAGAATCGTTGGTCTTACCTTGATTATCTATAGACGTTAACACAGCTCTGTTAATTGTAATTGCTTATTACTGTACAAATGTAACGCGCAGCACTCGAACTGTCTCATCTGTAGTAATGCCTTCAAGGCAACGCAGATATTTTGGAAATAAATGAATCATATGTGAGGCAGTAAGGATACGCTTCATTGTGACTGACCGTAACGTTTTCTCGGAGAATGGCCATTACGTCTTCCTGAAGCGGATTTCTCGAGCTCGAAAGATCAAATTAGGCACAAGTGTTCTTTTGTTTGTTTGCTTCTAAGCAATAGGTTCCGCGTATGTGACTTTTTTTTGTTTTAAATTATTGTTGGAAGGATGTGGAACAGGCAACAAGTTCCGCAACATTTACAGCGAGAAGCGTAAGTGCAGTATGATTCAGAAAAAATGAGACTCGAGAAACGCTCTACACGTACCTTATCGTCGATCTTGTGAGCAATGCATGTCAATCCTTTGTCGACCTCCGACGGCAGGATAGGCCGCACCCTCAGCGCCACCTGCGAAGGTTTGTAATGGCAGCATTAACGTAATGAGAGCGGCATTGTTGGAGGGCTGGTAATCCATTACTTTAGTATGATCTGCGCGGCAAAAAAAAAGGGGGGGGAGGGGCTGCACTGGCGCGGCCTAAAGGCCCACGCCTCAATCCGCTCGTCCGAATAAAGTTTGTTCACCACCACCGCAGAGAGCAGACAAGAGGACACACCCAGTGCAAACTTTTAACCAAACCTATTGTTTCACTGAGCCTATTTATATATACTGACTCACTATAGGTAACACATGCAGGTTAGCAATAATATAATGGCGCAATACAGCGTGCGCCATAATCGCGGCCAATTCACATGCAAATATATTCGGTCTCCGGATTTCGTGCCGACTGGTTGTGCCCCCGCGATCTCCAACGACTGCGCAGCTCTGGCCGACTGGGCTCCCCCTACGCCATCTCCTGACGCCGACAAGAGCTCTCGCCGAGTGGTGCCCCGTCCTCGGACTCCTGCGACCGTGTCCATCTTTCCTATCTTCCCTTCCGTCGTTTTCTGTCGTTCACTGTCTCTGCGCCTCTCTCTTTCCTTCCTCTGCATCTCTCTACCTTTTAATGCTTTCGCTTTAATCCCTCCTTTACCCCCACCCCTCTTGAGCTACTGCTGAGGTGTCCTCCCCCCCTGAGAGACAGTTACGGGGCTCACTTTTCTCTTGTTTTCAATTAAAATAACACACTCACATACGTGCAAACTTACATGCATACTCAAACGTCTAGGTTGACATGAAGCGTTCGTAAGCGTCTAGCGTTGGTAACGTATTCAAGCGTTCATCATCTAGTAAATTCGCCAGCGTTTACATTTAGGTTGTCGCGTACTTGTGTCGAATGAAAGAGCATGCATGAAAGCCGTCAAGATGCGGTAGGGTTGAATGTTTGCTGAAATTGACGGATTCAAAGCATGGTTTTGCTTCTTACTGTATGCTTCCGAGACAACACGGCCCGAGCTTGTCACGTTCTCGAGCAGAGCATTACGTTTACACGGTCCCTCATTCCCAGCGGCGTGTTCGTTACGCACAAGTTTACAGCTGGCGTTATTCGAAGTACTCATAGTAGCGTATGCGCACAATAAATTGACACTGTGGCCCGACGTCATGACCGTATCGGCGCGTCAGGAGGGTTCACCATGCAAAACATGGACTTCAATGTCGAAATAAAATTCTTATCAGCATCCAACTAGCTTGACATTTGCTGGGAGCCCTCTGCACGCAGTATATTCGTGTGGCAGACTTAGCTCATCTTCGAACACTGCTTTTGATACTCCTTCAAAGAATCCACAAAAAAAAAGAATCTGCAAGCCACGATTCTACTTACTGAGGTAGGCGACACTGTTTGCTCGCTGCCGTCAATGACCGCCACTTATCAGCGAAGCAAATCTAGTAACGCCTCCACGTCATGGTGGTGCGTGACGTGCTCCTTATAATCAGAACTCGGCAAATGTTTTGGGTCTTTCTATTTGTTCCGATACCTTTAGTTGGGACGCGCAAAAAGCTCCTCCCGTTCGTGCTCATTAACAGTTTTTTTTTCTTTTTTCTTTCTTGCTTCTTTCTTTCTATTGCTTACTGGTGCCTCCATAGCGAGTAGTGTCTCCCAAAGTATAACGCCCCGTCACGCAAAAAAAAAAAAAAAAAAAATTCTGGTCACGGAAAAGCGAGAGGCGCTTCTGTTGGCACAACCAATGACCCGCATTCAAATTAGCGACCACACTTTCGAACCCCCTGCTTTGTCATTCATCGCAACTCTTTGTCGCCCCCCCCCCCCCTTTTTTTTTCTATTCAAGAAGAGAACCTTACGCTGTTCGAACCAATCTGAGCCTAGGCGACAGCCACAGAGAGGTCATCGTTCATTCGACCCAAACCGCAATACTTTTTTTGTTCTTATTGCGGTAAAAAGCGAGAATGGGGGGAGGGGGCAGAGAGGAGGTCGGTGGGCTACGGCACTGCGTTTGGCTGTTGGTATGTAAGAGATGGGTTATGCTAATCACGCCAATCTGTCTCAAATCAGCTGATTGACTAGGGCGTGGGCCAGACCGCTCATCCTGCATTTTAAGGCCAGTGTTTGCACCCTTGTCTGTTATAACTTGTATAATATGCCGCTGTGTGTTTTTTTGTTTGACTTATTTCTTTTACTTCTTTGTGACCCAACTGCCCTAGATTTCCGAGTTTCTGTATAAGTAAAGGTGGACGACCGAAATCGCTCATTTCTGTCACCGCCCCAGTATTCGATTTTTTTTCTCCTCAGGGCCTAAGTAAAGTTCGTACTCACTGATGAATAAAGGCGACAACGGGATGATGTCGCATTTCTGGCGGCGTTTTCTGCACTTCTTCGCTACACTGCGTGTTATCTGCGTACTTATAGCGCACTTATGTGGTGCTATAAAAGAAACCTTACAGTTCTTTCAAACTTACACATACGTATTTAACTATAGACGTTGCCGTGAACAGTCAAGCCCACCTTTGACATAGCGCTTCCACCCGTCATGTTATACACTGTCGTGCAAACAACCTCGCTCTGTTGAATCTACACTGTAATGCTGGCAGTATAAGTGAGACACCACGAATAGTTCGTCGTTGCTCTTGCCCTTCATTGAAACCACATTGCTGAGAGTGTCATGCTATGGAAAAGAATTTCGCTGAGAATTTTCGTTTCGTTCAAGAGAGAAATGTGGAGAAACTAGCAGGTGCCAGGTTTTGCTCTAGTAACTAAAGAAAATACTATTTGAAAACGACGCCATAACCCCAACCGGCATTAGATTTGTTCCGTTACAGATGGTGCTTCTTCAGCCATCCCGAAATAGGTCAACAAAGTCGTCTGATAAAAAGTTACACCAATGAAGACTTTTTTTTTTTTTGCATTGGTGGTACACCGTATTCATATGCTTCACATTCGTAGATGTATGTAGAAGAAGAAGAGAGAACTTTAGTTAAACCTACCTTAGTATAAAACTTTCATAATATTTTATAAAACCACTCAATGCTTGACCAATACACCAGAGTGGGTAGGTGCCACAACTAATGGGTAAACAAGAACAAGTACCAAAAGAAAGTTTGCAATGTCTTGCGAGTCCTTGTAAGACCACTTTGCCTAGCCTGTCGGTGCAGTGGTGTCATACGTAAGCAGGTGTCGCTGTGTGTTTCCTAAACAAGGGACACGTCCGGGTCGCAACTGTTTGTGCAAAAAAGGGCGTTTAAGCGGGTACGTATTCGCTAAAGTCCCTACCCGGCTGTGCAGTGACCCACAAGGTAGCCACCGCTACAAGCATACCATTGACAGACGGACGTAGCAGACGATACTCTCACCCTCGCAGAAGCCTCGATATGCATTAAAGGGGCCCCGCATCACTTGTCTAACCCCCGTATTCGGAAACGCCCATCGACTCGGCTTTCACCCTTTACTTGACAGAGTTGCGTACTGCGCCGCTGCTCGGCTGAAAATGACGCTGCACTACTCAAGAATAGCAGCAAGTTATTGCTAATATGCAGTGACTTTTCCTGCCTAGAGATGGCGCTTCAAACGGCTTTTTCAAGTGAAGGTGGAGCTTTGAGTGAAGGGGCGTTCTAGAATACGGGGGTAAGTAGCCATGGATTGGATTAACTCAAGGAGTTTATTGCCTCACGCATTAACCGTTGCAAAGATTTTCAGGATCCATCTACTACGAGCGGAGTTACGAAGCTTTGTCACCCGCTGAAACTTCATTTGTTCTTTTCTTGTCTCAACGAAATCCCTGGAAGATAAGCAGGGATGGATGACACAGGGGTAGAACATACACCATGCTCACCACATGACCTGGGGCACTTTCTTTCTTTTTCTTTCTTTCTTTCTTTCTTTCTTTGTCTTTTTAACGTATGACTTTTCAGTGTGATCGCGTTAGCGCTCGTGGTCATGCCACGGCCTCCCGCAAAACCTTAGTCTATAGCCACCGAGCCCACCATGCCCAAATCTGCCATTGACTGATACTTGGCCTGCGACGTAGGGACATGGAGCCTGTAGCGTCACTTATCGAGAGATACAAAATGTATTTGTAGCTGACTTCGACATTTTTTGTATATTCCAGGAACGCGTGTTACGCTATAATATTTGGCACGCAAGTTCTCCGGAGCTTCGACTACAGCTCGGCAGCGTTTTCTGACCGTGCTCGAAAATGTAATCCAAGGCCCCTTTAAAAGGCCCGTAAACTACCCAGAGGCAGAAATGTAGATGTGGGCTTGCAGTTTTGTTCGTGATTCTGCGGTGAACGCTGGTGGAATTCCACGCGTTTCCCCATTTCACCCTTTCCTTCGCTATAGGCTGCATTCGATCGGCTCGTTTGACCACCTCTCCTAGTGGCCATCCTCAGCGCCCGAGATGGAAACGCAACAGGCGCGTGCATGTGCTAACAAAAAACAGGTTTCATTTCGGCCAATGACAGTGTCTCTAGTACTCAGCGTCACTTGTATTGTACCCAGCGTCAGTTGACGTCATGCCAGTTGGTCTCGATAGAGGGAAAGCGCGGAGAGCAGCACGCGAGCGTCTCTTGGTGGTTTAAGCGAGCCCTTTAAGCAATGGGCATCTGTTGGCGTTAAGCAGGAGCTGGACTAAATAAACATTACAC